TGCTATGCCAAAATTCCTTTGGAAGACCATCTTTACCCGGGGTTTTGTTGGGTTGCATGCTCTGGAGTGCTTCAAATAACTCTGTCTTGGTGATATCTTTTTCTAACAGGTCTATCGCCTCTTGATTGAGACTTTTGTCCAGGTATTTCAAGAATTTCTCTCTTGCTCTTTGGACATTTCCCTGGTCTTCGAGGAAGGTTTTGGACAAGTAGAGGTCCTGATAGAAATCTGACGCTACCTTCAACAATCCTGTCTGATCTGTTTGGGTGGCGCCCCACTCATCTTTCAATGCGGGGATTCTGCTATTCCTCTGGTTTGTCTTGATCCTTTGAAAGAAAAATTTTGTCATACTTTCATTGCTTTCCCAGTCTTTTACTCTGACCCTTATCGCTAGACCTTGTCTTCTCCAATCTGCCCATTGCTCTAATTATGCCATTGCCTCTTCCAGTAATTGTTCGTATAGCTCCGCCTCTGGGTTAGCGATGAGGTTAAACTTGGCTATTTCCACCATGGCCTCTAGGCTTTGCTGTCTTGCTTTTCTTCTATTAGCTTCTCCCCTAGAGAACCTATTTGCCCATTGACTCATTTCCCGAATAGCTGTCGGGAAGTCGCTAATGGGTTCTCCTCCCCTTCGGTTCTCCTTTATTTCTTCCCATTTGTATTTGAATTCCTGTTTAAAATTCTCTAGATTCAAGAGAGACGTGTTCAGCTGAAAGAAACTCCTCGCTGGTACGTTGTCGAGAGAAAAGGCCAGGTTTAATTGTATTGGGTTGTGGTCGAAACCTACATAGTGTGGTAACCTGCCTATTGTGCAATCAATGGTCGCTCCTTCTAACGATTCGGTTATAAGGAAGAACTCTATTCTCGAAAAGGACGTTTTGCCCAGGCTTGTTTTCCTGATGCAGGTGTAATCCTTTTTCTCTGGATAGCAGGTTCTGAATGGGTCCTTGAGGTTCTTTTCCGTTGTTAGCTGCGCCAAAGGTCCCCTGGCTGGGTTTTGTGTATTTTCTTCCGCCCATGAAATTTTATCTAGCTGAGGGTCCTGCGCTGTATTCCAGTCTCCCACGAGGATCGTATGCTTATGAGGAGGGATTAGCCCCCCTACCTCTTCAAAGAAATTAATTCTCTCCTTAGTGGTGTTTGGAGCATACAGACTTAGTATTGTGATGTCTTCTCCAATATGAGCTAGGTCCACTTTAGCCCATCTTCCGCTCACTTGGTCTGCTGCTGAAGAGGAGATCTTGGTTTGCTACGATTCCACCAGTCGGTTATGAATCAGAATGAGGACTCCTGCTGAGGCTGAGTGTGTGCTGTGTGCTGATACTGCTAGTGCACATCCTTTTAATCTTCTCATTATCTGTTTTTCTATTATCTCGTGCTCAGGTGAACTAGTCAAATGAGTTTCCTGGAGGCAAACCATATCTGGTGGGTTGGGTCCATTCCACCCTATTGTATTTAGGAAACAGTGACACTTCCCTGGATTTGAAAGGATTGTAGCTAGACCCCTTACGTTCCAGGATTGGATCACCAAGTCTCCTCTTGTTTCCTTCATGGTTTACCCCCCCTCAGTTTCATCAAGGTCTTAGTACTTGTGTTCATGTCTGAGTGCTAGACTCCGACACATCCTCGTGTGGGGTCAGTAGCGCTGGGAGTTCGTCCTCATTCTGCCCCAGCACCTATGATTCCAGCAAGGTAGCCCACGCTGCTACGTTCTGCGTCAGCGTGGTCTCGTTGCTAAGTGCCGTGACAGGTAGCGATGACACCCACCACCATGGTCTCCATTTCAAATCATCCGCCAAGGCTGCATCTTGCTCCAAACAAACAAGCAGCGGTCTGGCGTCATACTGTTCTTGTTCCCTACCGTCTGCATTGCCTGCCCTGTCCATCTGCTTCTGCAGTCCCACCTGTCTCGTCTTGCCTGCGAGTCCCATGATGCTAGTTGTCTTCCCTTTGCTAACTCTCTTCAGCAAGTCTTCCTTTTTTTGTCCCAGTTGCCATCTGAGGACAGAGAGATCCTCTTGCGCTGCTACCTTCCATTGCTCCTCTAGCGGGTCCCATTGCACCGGGATGATTGCCCGAGATGGTAAGAGCGTGCTCGCCTCCCTTTTGGCTCTTTCCCAAAACGCCTCATGATCCTTGTGCTGCAGGTCTTGGACCGTCACTGTGCGCAGCGAGATTTCTCCGTTCAGATCTGTCAGTCTCATGTTTTGAGCATATGATGCTTCCACCTGGATGCCCAGTTGCATCTCCCTTGTTAGGCCTTTGTTCAAGTCCTCATTCGCCTCGCTCTTCTCTCTCTCAGGCTGATCTGTCTGTTCCAGCAGAATCTGTGAGGGTTTGACCTTCTGCAATTTCTTCCCCGCCCTTTGCTTCTTCTCATTCGTTTTGTTCCCCCTTTTCTCTGCCGCTTCCATTATTTGATCTTCTTTAGATTCACAGTATTTTCCGGCCAAGAACGCTGACAACTCTTCTTCCCTCTCAAGAGGCGCGAAGGGGTTCTCCGACAGCGGAATCAATTGGGATGTGTTCGGTGTTGCTGTCTTCAACTTATTCTTTTGCTCTTCTTTGTGCAGGATTAACTGTAATTCAAATTTTTCTTGTCTCACCTTTTCATAGCTCCGAATGTAGGCCAACAGTTCTTTTTCCTGCTGACCAGACCATGGGTAACCTTCCTTCCACGTTTGCCCTTGTTCATCATCTGAATCATCTCTGTCCCTTTGCCCGTCCGTGTGCTTTCTCTTTCCCCCCACACTGGGTTTCTCTCCGCCCTCGGGTTCCCCCTGGACTGCTGCCTTTTCACCCTCCTCCATGGACTCATCCGTCCCCTCCTTTTCCGTTGTTTGTTCCGACTCAGACTTTTGCTGTCTTCTCTTTCCCCTTCTGCAGTAAGTTCTTTGTTTAGGGAGTTCCCCTTTTGACCTTTCCTCCTCCTGATATCTCTTGACAGCTTCTACCCAGTCCCTTTCCGTTGTTTCCTGAATTGTTTGCAAATCAGCGCAAAGGTCCTTCTCCCACATTTCCTGTTTCAGGGCCTCCACGTTGATGACTGGGTCCCTGGTGAAGCACTTGGGTGCTTTCTTTTCTGTTTTCAACGCTTGCCACCTGCTGTCGTACGGCGGATAGACTTCTGGTCTGGGGGTCGGTTCACCTGCTATGGTCCATACCCAGTCTGGTGAATCCAGATTGTCGTTGAAGACCCAACCTGCGTATTGTGCCTCTGGAACGAACCAGTAGCCTTGCTTGTTCGGTACTTCCTGCAGGTTTGCGGTTTTGAGGGCCTTCGATTTTGCGCTCTCCCTTGTTTTCGGACAGCTGGTGTCAGTACCCAGGTGGCCTCTTTGTCTGCGCTTGAAACATACCGGATTAGATTTACTAGAGACCCTTATCCTAATTACTTTGCCTTCCTGCGAAAAGAACCATTCATCTGGTACAAATGGCAGCGGGCTGTCTCCTGTCTCCAGCATTGCTGTCATCTGATTGTGGTGGGGAGTAAGGAAGTCTGGCGTCGAAACTATCCAGTGCGTTTGTGTGAAGTGGCCATATTCCATTCTTACCCTCTCCTTAATACTTCCATGCATTCCTTCTGGGACATTGTCGAATTGAATCCAGAAATGCTTTTTGATTACCTCCTGTCTGTACCTGAATGGAGTTTGTTGGATGTTTGCCGCTTTTTTCCACGGGTGCCCTGTGACGAGTGACGAATTGCAGGTGAAGCATTTGTTCTTCAGGAAGGACGCCAATTGCTCCTCCATGCACAATACCATGATGACGTTCCTGGATCTCGGATGGAACGAAACTTTGGGTTCCTGCCCCTGGATTGGTTCCAAACTCTTTAGCTTTTCCCATATCCATTTTAGTTTGGCCTATCTGTCCCGTTCCTGGCTTTTTTTTTGAGAACGTGAACAGAACTGCGTGCTTTTGGTGAATCTCTTCCTGTTTCGACGTCAGTTCTTTCGGGCATTCGTAGATAACCACTTCTTCTTTATTGTTTCCTCCGTGATCGATGCATTTGGTGGTCTTCACTAGCGGAGTTCTGGTCTGTTCCGCCAGCCAATTCCGAGTCTCCATTACCCATTCCTTCCATCTTACTGGTTAGCACTGTCTCTCTTTGCGATCTGGATTTGACTAATCGTCAGGCAAGGCCAGCGCTGGTCTTCACACTAATAGTCTTTCCCAGATGTGTACGGCTTTTGGAAGATTTGGTGGAGATCTAGATGCAAAGAGATTCCCCCGAGCACAAGGAGCTGGGGATGCGAACGGGGCTGGGGTGGGGGGGTAGTGAGAGTTTCGAGCAGCGATCTAAACTCGAGCTAGGATTGGGGATGGGATCGGAGATGAGTAGGATCGGGGGTGGAGTCTGGGTCGAAGGTAGGATCGGGGTCGGATACAGGGACGGGATCGGGGATGGGGACAGAAACAGGGATGGGGACTGGACCGGGGGAAGGGACGGAATGGGGGTGGGGA